GCAGAAATTGGTTTGCGTGCAGACGCTTGTCTACCCTCGGCTCGCACGCCTCGCGGTTCGCCTCTAAATAATACATATCATTAGTGAAAAGATTGCCCTTACCTTCTGTTGACAGTACGAAGCCACATCGTTTGAATTAAGAGTTTTCATTAGCTCTTCATATTGCGTTAGTTGAGATAGCCTGACAGATCGTGCTCTGGGCGTGTCGGGGCTGCAACAGACAAAAAAGGCTTCTGTTTGCAAGTCAACACTTTAAGCACTGTTAAGTTGCTGTTACTATTTTCGTTATCACAGCTCCTAACACGTTGTAAGCTGCATAAAATACTACTTTTAAAGGGTTCCTCCAGCAAGGGAGAGCTTTTACAAAATCTGTCTTAACATACCTTCTTTGCCTTTCACCTGGCCATACAGTTTCTCTGGAGGTAACCAGCGGCGTTGTTCTCATTGTCGGCGAGCTGCTTGATGCAATGGTGTTCGCGGCTAAGCTGTCTCCTGCGGCTACTCCCGAAGGGCTGAATTTTATCACTTCTCGGCCAGTGCAATTTGCATTTGTCAGAAATGTAATCTTAAATTGGCAACTTCCTTGGACTTCAATATTAAGTTTCCTGATTATTCGCACCAATAGCATACTTCCCGGTTACCATTTGTTCTTATGTTCCCCTACCGATACCCTTCGGCCTTCTTTATCTTCTTATTCAAACAAACTTTCTTTTTTGGCTCTTATTCCTATTATTATTTCCAGTTATCGCCATCTACAGCTTCTCAGTTTACTACCCCACCGTTATAACCCCCTATTACCAGATGCCCGTAAGACAGAAGGACCTTGGTTTCTCAATATCGCCTTAGCCTCACAAATCATTCTCGCTCAAAATACTTCGAAAAATAGCATCGAGTAAATTCGTTAGACCAAAAAACCAACATATTTGTAGGACTGTAAGAAAAAAAATGTGGTAAATGCTAGCTGTATTTTCGGACGGAACGTACGCGCATGGTGTAGGTTAGTTTAATTAAGTCGCATAACTTAAATGCAGGTCGTTAATGTTGTAAAAGGCTAAAAATATACTTTCGAGAATCATATGCTACTGGGAAGTTTACCGGAACCCAAGCATATATAATAACATAATCTACCGTTCGAAGTCCATTTCTAGCAGCAAAGTTTATCGGAGTTAACTAATTCAACGCAAGGATCTGAAGACTTCCGAAAATTCCCACCAAACGATTCAGAGGGCCACTTCGTGAGTATACGCCTTGGGCCAGTATATTTTGCTCAGAAGATTAAGAACGAAATATTTTCATCAGCAGAAATGAGTAGCTGTGAAGTTCTGTTTGTTATTTGAATGTGGTTATTATGAATAAATGAAAGGTAGCGGATCAATAAACTGGTTGTGAAGTACGCTACTCGTGCTCGGAAAACGACGTTACACTTATAAATAATCTCTTTAAAAACAGCAAATGCTGTCATTAGTGATCATTAGACATAGAATGCGATTATTACGTTGTATAGAGAGTAGCAGCTGACTTCCAGAGCGAAACTAAAGGTCCACAGCAGAGACAAACATAAACGGAAATTTGAAAACCTTTTTAAACAAAGAAATGATCACATTTACGCGCAGAATCGGCTTCTCATTTGACTCCGACGCGGTGTTGTTAAACCTATAATGGCGGGAGGCACAAGTCTTGAGTACTTGTCCATATACAGGCCGCCAAATCAAAAGTCAGATACTGATGAGACAATGTTTGAATTCATAAAAAATGTATTTCAAATTTAAGAAGCAATTCTCGCCGGAATATATGATGCACCGCTGATCGACCGAAACAGTCTATCAGTAACATGTTCGCGTAATTTTTTTGACCAGAGAGTCTTAAAGCTGGCGAGGAATCTATTTATCGTACAGAATATGCCATTTCCACTACGAATCAGCAGCTCAAACAGTGATTTATCTAGACCTCTTTCTTTTGGAAGAACTTATTAGGATAAACAAAGTAAAATCACGCCACTTGTCATGAGTGACCATGCCATGCTGCTGTATGAATGAACTTCTGTGAGATTCAGCGTGAATTATCTGTACCTTTCTGGTAGGAAATTCGTGTCGAAAGCTGAAACCGACTGCAAAATTGTCAAATGTGTTATAAACAACAGCTTAATCTCTGCATTAGGAAAAATTTCGCTAAAGCGAGATAAGATCAGGTATCTGCAGATCACAGAAGGTGTGTGAAGCGAAAACTATAGAGAGGGCCGTAAAGAACTCAGTAGGTAAATCAACAAAAGGTTGAAAATATACAGAGACAATGGTAGTGTGTGTAGGTTAAAGTACTGAAGACAGCACTTTAACAATTGTTAAAGTTTAGATCACTAAATATCGAACAATGCCCTGAGACCGACCAAACGTTAATAAACAACGTTTCGTCAAAATTAGTAACCAGGGTTCAAGAAAAGCTCTGCAATGTGGACGCCGACGCTGATCAGGTTAAACTTATTACTCCCTTCATATGAGCGCTGCGCCCAGCCGGCGTCAGAGATAGCGTCAAACACCTACTTTCACTCCAGTTTACATCACTGATCATATCAAAAGCCCATTCGCCGCCAAGAAATGCACAAAAGTTATAAAAGAGTTAAAACAGACGTCCAAACATCTATCTCGCACTCTGATAAAGACGGAACAACGAGTATCATCGAGAATGTTGCCCACCAAATGACTGTAGGAATGATCTGGACTAAAAGGGCGTCATTTTTGAGAGATACGCCAAATTTTGAGGATATAATGCTATTTTTTTTAGCAAAATCGTCTTCCATTCACAATTAATAAAATTTGACACGTAACCTACAAAACATCTGGAAATCACAAGTAACCGAGAATCGTCTAAGACTGCGTTTAAGAATGTTTGCGCACGACAACTAAGACGGTTATCCCCGAGGGATTCTTGGTAATTCGAAGGTAGATGTTTAGCTATAGGCAGGCAGCTGCTCATGCGGGTAAACTTGTCGTCTAT